TTAACTTTGCGAAAGTATGTTTTCGTGTCTCATTTCCTAACTTAAAATATCGCTTACTCTAATTAATTAGCATATTTGAGGTTAGCCTTTGGAACTATTAAAAGATTGAATCTTAATACGTGAAAATCCGATGATTAGGATCAAAGGTTATTTAAGGTGTTCCTTTTTTTGTATTGCTCACTTTATATTCGCATTCGAAGGTTAGGCATTTCAAATGAGAGACCGAGGACTTAAAAATCGGATTACGTATTTTTTTAAAAATGTATTATTATTATTATTTATTTTTTTATTTTTTGTTTAACGGGTAATGTTTATACACGTCTAAAAATTCCTCTTTTCCCTTTTCTTGATCACATTAAAATAAATGCACTGCTCATGCATGCACGCAGATCAATATTGTGTATTCCCTTGATCGCCAGACACCGGGTCGCTCGAAGAAAGTGTTCTTCTGAACATCGAGATTGGATGCTAAGTGATTTTATTTTTTTATATCCGTCGTTGAACAGCCGACCCTGTTTTTGGGTTTACGACTGCTAATGTTCAACTTCGTAGTCTTGTAATTTCGAACCAATCCAGAAGACAAGGAAACTCCTGGATCAATACCACCAAAGGTATTGATTTGTTATGGGAACTCGGAGGACTTTGCGACTCGACAGATTTAACATGCATCTGTCACCATCTACTTCACGGGGTGTCTTCGGCCATCCTGGGATCGAACCCACGATTTCTAGGTCATGGGTCCTGTGCCCTAAAAACTAGGCTATCCCGGTCCACATGCAAAATGATTGGAATGATGTGCTGTTTACGGACGAGTTCCGATTCAGTTTAGAGTATGACACTAGACATGTTTTGGTATGGTGAAAAAAGGGCACGCGAATTGACCCTATATTTGTCCAAAAATATCACATGACAGACGAGGTGATATGATCGTATGGGCTGGAATCAACATAGGTGGACGTATTGATCTGCATTTTACTCGGAATGGCAATTTGTCGGCTCAAAGGTATGCAGACAAGATCCTGAGACCGCATGTATCTTACTCTGCAGCCATCGGTGATTCCTTTTTTTAATGCTGGATAATGTCAGACCTCAAACAGCTCGTATTGTGGAGAATTTTCTCTAAGCTCAAACAATGCATCACATAGAGTGGCCAGCATGCTTTCCTGATCTAAATCCGTTCGAGCCTGCTTGAGACGCACTCGGACGTTGTGTTCTCGCTTGATCAAGGCCTCCTGCTACTATCCAAAACTTGGAGATAATTTTTCGTCAGGAGTGAAACTGTATTCCCCAAAGTCTCAACGATAACCTTATCGCATCCTTGCAAAATTAGTGTACGGCACTCATAAGCAGTTCATGGGGACCACACACCATTTTTAACAACCTGTATCATTTCCGTACCACCAGTTTTTGTCATTTATATGTTATCAAATTGCTGCCTTAAAACATCATTTCATGTTCTTTATACCATTCCAAATAATTAAAGTTTCTATGTAATTGTTTATTTCCTTTTTTTTCTTACTTTTTCTTATTTGTTCATGCATTGCGTTTTGTTAAACTTGTATTCTTCATTTTACGCCCATGCATGACTACCACGCAAAGGTCTCATAATTTTTTTTTTGTTTGCTCCCCTAATTTTTTTGAGCAGTGTATTAAGATATTCATCAATCAGATAAGAAAAATTCGTTGCATTTGAACCTTATTTTCTTTATTAAACAACAAAATGTTAAATGTAGTTGCTAGAAATCGCTGAAAAGTGCTGTATTTTATTTTTTTTAAAATTATTTTTCGTTGCATTACGTATTACACTACATTTTAAAAATAAGTATCACATAATTGCAAACTACAAAAAAAAGTAGTAACACAGTAGTTTCGCTAGCAGCATCGTGGTACTTCCGACCATTGATGTTAATGAGATGTGTTTTTCAGCAGATCTAGTTCAAAAACGTTATTCATGTTAACTATTATTTTTTAGTAATTGTGCAAGATGCAAACTAATTTTTTCATATTAATAAGCCATAATTATGAAAAGATAATTTTTTCATGATTATATATTTATAATTATTTTCGTAATCATAAATTATGCTTGGTTTTATTTTTCATAAAACTAAGTATATAATTATTAATTGAAATAAGACTAACTACTAACTTAAGTTCTATTTGTACAGTTCTCAAAGGAAGAAAAAGAAAACGATCCACCCAGAATAACCTTAGATCTAATGATCGGATCTTCACATTCTGGGACTCACTCTTAATGCTGCCCAAGCTATTGCTAGCATTGCTTGTTATGCTATGAACACAATAAAACCATACATAAATAAAAATGCATCTGAAACAATGCCAACTTAGTGATTTCTTAGAAAATTAGGCAATCTTCTTTTTGAAAGAAAATTATTCTAAGCCATAATGCTTAAATATTTATCAGGATAGAATAAATATCTAATAAATCGCATGCTGTATAGTATTTGCTGATTGTGATTTGACATTTTCTGAGAGGAATTTATTGCTGTTCAAAATATGGATAGGAATAATTCGTTTGGTTCCAGAAAACGAAAAGCAGTGGAAAATAAAAACTGACGAAAAAAGCGCAATATTTTACGAACTTAAAAAAGTTAATGTATTCTCGGACAAGATATTGAAATAACTGTCTTGGTAAGAGTTTCACTATATATTATAATTTGTCATGGACAAATTATTTTTTTAATAAGTAATTTATTAATATTGCAATATATTTTTAAAACAACGTAATAGAGTAATTTTAACTATATATATTAATGTAAGTAATGATATATTGAATAGAAGAGAGGGCTGAATCACAGTATTGGCTTTAGGTATTAACAATCAGCGATTAAGTCGGTAGTTGAAATTGTTGAGTTGGTAGTTGTAGGTTCTGAACTCGAATTTTCTTACATGGACCAGTTATTCCATATCATATAGATTTAAGTTTAAATTTGAAACTTCTTATTTTGATACTCAATATACGTTATATGTAATTGTATGATAAAATCTACAGTGCATTTCAAACTCGGTTACCGGATCACGGGATATCACATGTCTAAATTCTTCCCTACTATTCGTTTCAATAAAACAAATCAAATAGTAGAGATTCATCTGATCATTCACCTATTTTTGAGCTAAATGGGTTTTTTCAAGACCTATTGTTTATTAAAGTAAACTTATTGTAAAATTTAAAAACTAAAATGGTTGCTGAAATCAGAAAATATAACCTTGATTTTATCTCTATAGGTTGCCATTTTTCAATGATAGATTTAGTATAACTACTTGCACTCGGTTGGCAATGAACGTGCTAACCTGTTCAGGACCGACGAAAGGTGAAAGAAGCACGTCTTCAGACCCCCACGCTCCGAGATTATACGTGAGCACGGGATCAAGCGATTTTTTCCGTTAAGTCTAATTTTTTTAAAAAATAAATATAAGTTCATTACTGCAATTAAATACGCTGAAATTGGCAGTTTATTATCATTGGTAGTACCTAAACATACTATATTTTATAACCGTCGTTGAACAGACAACCCAATGTTTCAGGTTTACGTCTACTAATGTTCAACTCCGTAGCCTTGTAATTTTGAACCCAATCCAGAAGACAAGGGAAATCCTGAATCAAGAATTGGGAGAAATTTGCTTCCGTGGAGGACTTTTTTGATGGAACTAACCCGCATTTGCGTTACATGGAGAGGAAAACCTCCCACAGTTAGCCTGACGTTAAGGGGACTCTAACCCATAATCCGTCTACCACTGAGGATATTTTACGTCGGTGCAAGCCGGATGTGGAATTCGTATTGACCAGCCATTGCTGGGATTAGAACCTGGTTCCCCTTATTGGAAGGCGAACGCTTTAAAATGTTCGCAAACTTTCAAAAAGAAAATTACAGAACTGACTCAAGGACATCAAATTACTATCGGCAAACCCTGAGCTACAAACGGCACGTCTACACCTACATAGACCTGTAAGCATTTCATCCGTTTCCCTCTTCATCATAATATAAACAAAAACTCAGAGCTTTGTAATCCGCGTGTCCAATCCTCTTGGAAGAGCCAAACACGCGTAGTTGGTTACATGTTTAAATACCCCGAATCAGATAGTAATAAAAATATTCGAAACCAAAACGCAAATTGCTAGTCAACCCTCTGTTAGATACTATTCGAAATTCCAATGTCACCGAGCTCACTTTGGAAGGTTTTCGTGGTTTTCCTCTCCATGTAACGCAAATACAGATTTCTTCCGTTAAAATGTCCTCCGAGAAGGTTAGATTGTTCCAATGTCTGATCCAGGAGTTTCCTCGTTTCAAGGCTTCGGAGTTGGACATTTGTGTTCAAACAACACAATGAGTCTACTGCTCAATGCCGGCTATGATATAAAGTCTACACCAATGTGAAATTTTTAAAATTTTTTTTCACTCAATTATAAAACTCCTTTATCGAAAAATAATTTTATAATAATTATGTAATTATTGTTTTAAAAATTCAGAATATTTAAAAACATGCCAACCCTTAAAATGAAAAAAATACTTATCAAGAAATATTTTTTTTACATCTTTCGGCAAAAGAATTTTATAATTTTGAGCAAAAAAATTTATATTCGCTTAAAAAGTTCCCGAGATATAGCAAAATGCACAAAAAATAAAATTAACATCAAGTGACTTTCGAAACTTCTCCCGACTAAACTGTTGGGACCACATGTTTCCAGATTGCTATTGAAAATGGTAGCGGCTATTTTACTCCAAGTAGTGTTAAATAACATCGTTGATGTTTCCCTGCAACAGGAACTATCCTTGAATCTTAATGAAGTAAAACACTAAGAATTTCCCAATGGTGCTTCCATACACCACTTAAGTGTAAAGCAGTTTCCACCAGTTTTGGCGTTGAGGAACGCTAATTTTTTTTGCAGTGTTGTTAGGTTTGAGAAGTCTGATTGTATAAAACAATTGTGCATACGAAATTTAAAAAGAATAAGTCAGCTTTTTCAAAATATACACACACACTTTCTGTAAATATATTTATTTTCTTGACACAAAAAATAAGCCAAGCTAAATATTTTGTTCCCCCGAGAAACAAGCACTTGAAAGATTCTACATGTGTCGCGTATTGCCAAAATTTTGTCCACTTTGGTTGGCTCCTTTGTTTGTACCATACTGAAGATTGATAATACCCTCACTGGCTCGAAGTTGTTCTTCTGTGAATTGACGCTTGTTTTCTTCAGCTGGTTTTGGACCGAGGCAGGGTCCATTGTAATCTGGACGTGTATAACACTGTAAAGAAATAATCATTCTGAAGTAAGGTCTTTTTTATATATATAGGGTAATTTTAATTACCCTGTAGATCTGGATATATACGTTATATGGACCATGAGCATCTACAATAAAAGTGTTTTATATTTTAGCTTTTTAAAACATATTTTTAATGAATTCAATATAAAGCTGATTAAGAAATAAGCAGTCATTGCCGTAAAGTGTAAAAAATATACTGCACCACATAAAGAAGAAAAATAAAGAACGTGCATTGCCGGAAACTTGTAATATCGAAACGACTTTAAACTTTCAATTGAACTACATGCTTGAAATTTTTACAAAAAAAAAAAAAAAAAAAAAAAAAAAAAAAAAAAAAAAAAAAATTGATAAATAAAAATATTTGTGTCGAGGCAGGTTTTGAAAAAGAATGTCTAAATCTGAAGAGACTGGGTAGTTAGAGAAGTGCTACGAAGGAGACTGTTTTCAAATGAAACCAGATTGAAAGCAAGTTGCCCAACACATCAAGATGCAGCAATACATCTTGATATTCTTCGCACTAAATGGTGCAATATGTTTAACAAAAATGAAATGCACGTATACATTTTTGCCTCTCCAATTTCAATTTCTTAAATTTTTTGCGTGTCATCTCACCTATTGGTCGGAAGGACCCCGTGTGCATATTATGATGAAAACTAATTCTTTGTAAAATTAGTTGAAAACTTAATATGTTGTAGTTCATAACATTCTAAATAAAAGTTCTCATTGGCTTTAAGTCCAAAAATTTATAGTTACCGAGATACGAAAGTAGTAATTCTCTAATACCGTCATGTCATTAGCATTAACCAATGTGCACCATGTGGAGGTTGTCGGATTGGATTTTGCAAATGTTATTGCCCTTGATTGTTTTAACAAAAAGATACTTGGATGTATACAAATATATATAGTCACGCATAAACATGACTGCACATCAATTATTTAAATATTATTTCAATTTTTTTTGTCGAATCGCTGCTTCTTAGATACATTCAATAAACTTCGTAGATGGTTACTTAATGTTATCTCCATACCGTGCATATCCTAGACACCATATAGCATTCACAATGGTGTACAAGTACCCAACGTCTAATGCTACGCGCAAGCGCTCTTCTATCACCTTTCACCATTGTGGCCGCTGTCTATATATCTTATGTTTGAGGCTCAGCGTTTCGGAAACTATCCTTTTTTGTCAACGAGAACTTTAGTTCAGAATGTTTTGAACAACATTAAATTTTCAGCCAATTTGACAGAGAATTAATTTTTATAAGATTTATGCAGGTTTCTTAATAATGCTGGTCCCGCAGTGGACTGATCGCTAAGACACGGTTCCCAGCAGATCACAGAAGTCAAGCATCACTGGCCGCAGTCAGTGTGTGGGTGGCTGACCACTTGGATTAGTTTGCGTAGGGACTGAGGGTGTGCGGTATTGGTCCTCGTTAAACTGATCTACTGTAAAGTGCTCGACTTCGCGTGCAGGTCGTCGGGCTACCGAAGCGGGGGTGCCATCCCCTCTGCAGAGGATCAAAATTGTGATGGCATGCCTTCGGATCATCCTCAGGGATGTTTCCCAGACCGTCGCCAGTAGCCCATTGTGCAGCTCTAGCGTGACGTAAATTAACTGCAACAACTTAATAATGCGGGTAAACTTAATAATGCAAATATCGCCGGCCAGGTGGCCGAGCGGTTAGCGCGCCTGACTGCGAAGCCAATGACCGCGGGGTCGAATCCCGCTCTGGGCATGAATGTTTCTCTCTCTTGTGTTGTCCTCTGTTGTGTGTGATGAGTGAATGTGGCCCACCCTATGAACGGGTTTGTGGCAGTGTGGCGTGGGCAATGTTACTCGCCTCCGTGACTTTGGTTCACAGGTGCCCACTGGGAACGCGAAATGAGTAACAACTGTAGCATCTTCTAAGGCGAAACGAATAAAGCTCAGTGCCTGCCATTCGAAAAAAAATATGGCAAATATCTTTTTCTCATGATCTATATGATGTATATACCGATTTTCATAGACATCCGGCAAATAAAACGAACTTTAAATTAATGTAAACTTTGTAACTTTAACTGTAATAACCTTGTATTTGCATCATTTTTGGGGAAATTATTGTCTATAGTGTGTAGTTGTCGATAGGTTTGCATGTAGGGAAACTATTTAATTACCTAGTCAGTCGAAGTATTTTTGTGTATACTTTTTGCTTCTCTAAATCATACTAGCTTTCCACCATGTCCAGTCTATAAATATTTGTGTTATGAACATTTTCCAAACGTCTATAATATTGACGTTAAGAGAGCGTTTTATCAGTGTTTCACGGTATTTGTCAGTGTTTATTATGGTTACATGTACAATGAAATCTACTCCGACTTTAAATGATTCTGATGCAACTATGATTCTGATGCAACTAGGTGAAAAATTCGCTTTCTCAAATATAGAGGAGAGCTAGTTGGACATGGGAATACTAAAACTTTCACATAGCCCCTATAAAAATGCATCAACTGATTTGATGAATATGTAGAAAATTCGACAACATTTAACCCTGAAAACGATGTAAATATAATAGAAAATAATGCAGTATTGTTTCTAAAAAAATCCTTGAGATACTTTCTTTATGGGAAGAAAAATTCATTCGAGACAAACTTAATGACTCCCCCCTTTAATTTATCTGCTTTAATATTGCTTCTAAAAAATAAAATAACTCCAATTTCCAGCCAGGAATCTTAAAGTAGGTTTACGACCGATACTATAAGAAGTGCAATTTCATAGCCATTCCGATTCTGAGAATGAATAGATCTACTTTTCCTATTCACATTTAGTACAAAGATATTTCAGGTTCAGGACTGTTTATGTCACGTGTAGGATATCGAAAGTCAATAATTTGTATGTTTTTACATGAACCAGGTAGCATTTCTACTCTATTAAAATTACAATTGCAAAACAAAAAATTAATTTCAGAAGCAAGAATACACTGAATTTGATTTGAATATCTTAAAAATTTAAGAAGTTTCAAGCAATTTCTATGTAGTTTTCGTACTTTTTTAAAAGAAAGCTAAAAATGATAAGGAGTTTTCCACAAATTTTATATTGTACTATTAAACAAGATTTATTAAAAATGACACCGGCACTGTTGGGGATCATTCCCCATTAAAGCATCTTTTCTTTCTTCCTTCCTTCCTGATACAATAATATTTCGGTGCATAAATGTTTATTTCAAGAAACCATTGTTTGTTATTTAATTTTGTTTCACGATACAAAATACTATTTGCAGAAAACCCCTTATCACTGTGAGATTCTTTTAAAGGGTGCAAAAACTACTTTGAAAATTGCTTGAAACTTTCTAAATTAATTAAGAGTTATTAAAAATGACACCGACTTTGTTGGGGATCGTTCTCCATAAAAGCAGCTTTTCTTTCTTCCTTCCTTCCTGATACAATCACATTTCGGTGCATAAATGTTTATTTCAAGAAACTATTGTTTGTTATTTAATTTTGCTTAACGATACAAAATACTATTTGTAGAAAACCCCTTATCACAGTGAGATTCTTTTAAAAGGTGCAAAAACTACTTTGAAAATTGCTTGAAACTTTCTAAATTAAAATTCGGACTTTTCAGACTAAATTCGGACTGTTTTCATTAGTTGCCAAATACGATTCACAATAAAATTATGAGAAAAAAATTTAACTTTTTTCCATTCATGCACAGTATAAAAGAACTGCTTTAATTACCCATATCTTGCGTAATTTTAAACAAATGTTTCTGAAACTTTAAAGTAATAGTTTTGTAATTAATTTTAGAGTGCTCTAAAATTTGTTTAATTTTGTAGAATATTTTTAATGTTATAGCAAAAAACGTAAGACAAAAAAAATAAATAAATAAATTAGTTTTTATAAAAATATTCATATCTTCATAAATATCTTAGATAGGTATACGAAATTTTGGGCAATCTTCACATATAATAACCAAACTAATTGTTGCAAGTTACAAATTTATTACTACATTTTTTGGTATAGAGTGTTCAAAAACACTTTTTTCCGTTTATAATTTATTGTCGGTCCCTTAAACTTCTAAAAGACTTAAACATCAATGAAAAGTATAAGAAATTGCATGATCTAAACACTTCTGAAGTATAAAATGATTATTTATTTCTTGAGAAATATAAAAATGTATCAGTATAGAAGTGTCTCCATTATTTTGTCCACCCCCTGTATATTTTAAATTATGTAGTTTTATTATTTTTTTTAACTGTTTTGAACGTGAAATAATGAAATTATACATATTCTTCCATTTCTTGATAAATAAAACAACACACTACCACATTTAAATAATTTTTACTGGAAATAGGATTTTTTTTAACGAAGACAGTTAGTGCACTAAAATAGAATCGGGAGTTTAATTGGAATTTAGAGTTCTTATATTGGAAATACTTAATGGTTACCTTCAGTAAATCAGTAAAATCTTTAGCTTTACAAATTTAAATTAGTGAGTGAGAAAACTGTTTATTTATGTGAAGTATTTAAAAAAAATACTATATTGAAAACCATACCAATAAAATTTAATATGTCAAGCCTTTTATACAATATTTAATTAATACTACGGCTATTATATTTCATAAATAATCCCTTAACTCAAATTAGAAAACTACTGGCCCTGTTTGCTTTCGGAATTCCGAATATTTTTTAAAATTTTGGGTTCATGTCCTTAAGCTCAGAGGTTTTCCCTTATCTTCTAGAAACTTTTTTTTATTGCATCCTTAATTATAACTGTTGAACGGTCACTTGATTTGTATTCTATCAACCAAATTTTATACCATAAACCAAATTTCTTTTAAATCAAAATTCTCTTAGTTTTAATGTTTGTTAGTTCAACAGAATTTTTTTTTAATTTTTTTTTAAATTTTTTATTTTTATCTTCGACGTCTGTTAAATTTCTCTTACTTTTTCTTTATTGTCTGAAACTTTATTTCATTCTCATTGATGCTTTAATTCTTTTGTATCACAATTTTCGCAAAACTTCAAACGCTTTACGCGAATAATTGCTTTAAATTTATTACAGTGCGATGTTTCTTATGCAAATGTTTCGAGTATATATGTCTCACGAGGATCTTTGAAAAACTTTTTCTCTTGTTCGCTTTTTACCATAGTTTTTTTTTCCCTTCAAATTTTAATGTTTATTTATTTTTTTTTTGAAAATTTCTTTTGAAAAAAAAAATAAAACCCGACGTCGAAGTACTCTTCAAGAGTTGGGAATTCATACAAAAAATTTTTTGAAAATCAATTCAGAAGTTTTTGAAAATGCAATATTCTAAGATTTACCTTAAATATTTATTTTTTTCAATCTTCGAAATATTTTCAAATTTTTTATCCTGTTCTTTTCACTTAAAAGAGTTAATTTCAGCTTTTAAATTTCATAATTTGAATAAATAAACTTACTGCTCTGCCTAAAGCCATTAAGCATTGTGTTACTTGGCCAATATTTCTCCTTTCCCATAAGTCGACTGTTTGGAAGACGTCAATTTCTGGAACACCCCATTTTTTAGCTGCTTCTTGGAAACGGTTGATGTTTTCCATCATTTTGAATTGTCCACCGGAAGTATTAATTTTCTGAATACATCCTGGCATCAGTTTATTCATTAAACTGAAAAATATTACATTACATTAAGGACATATATTATAATTCTCCTTGTATGCATGTTCCTAAAAAGAAAAATATTAAGGATCTGTATTATGCACTTGTAACATATTTGTCCTCGCTTAAGTGTTCCTAAACTGGAAAAATATTACATTATATTAAGGATCTATATCATAATTGTACTTTCTCAAGTGTTCCTAAACTTAAAAAGAAAAAAAAACATTATATTAAGGATCTATATCATAATTGTACTTAATTTCAAATGCTCCTGAACTTGAAAAGAAAGAAAAACATTATATTAAGGATCTATATAATAATTGTACTTTCTCAAGTGTTCCTAAAATTAAAAAACATTATATTTAGGATCTATATCATAATTGTACTTAATTTCAAATGTTCCCGAACTTGAAAAGAAAGAAAAGCATTATATAAAGGATCTATATCATAATTGCACTACCACAAATGTTTCGCAACTGAAAAAAATTACATTACATTATGCTAGGGGAGAGAGGGCGAGTGTGCGATTATGGGGCTTGAATAACTTTATTAATTATTGATCAAATTGGGGGCCCTTGTGGGATATTGTAGATTGGAACCACTAATGAACACTTCCATATGCAGTTGTATAGTCATACTGTGAATACTTTACATGAAATCTGCAAAAGAAGGTTTTTAAGGTGCAAAAGTAACTTTCTCTTTATTTCTTATTAACATATTTTATTTTAAGGATTTCAACAAAAGATGATAATATGTTATAATATATATATATTTTACCTATTTTGATATTAACTTTTACTGTGTATAGTTTCAATTAACAAATATTAAGTATAAACAGACGCATGTCTTCGTGGAATTATTGTGGACTTGTCCAAACTGGCTCCATTTAACTTCCAATGGAAAATATATGAATTGGTTATAAATGTAATACATTTGATATTATTTATTTTTTAAATTAGAGTGATTTTGTAGAATCATATACTTTTACAAATAGTGATTTCAATCACAAGAAAAAAACGAAACCTTAATATTAATCCACTTTTTAAAGGTTTTAAGAAAATTTTAAAAGAGCTATTTTATCAAGTTTATTAAAAGAATGTAATTTAATGTAGAGGAATTAAAAAAGAAGAAAAGTTCTTAGAATATTTTTACTTTTTCATATATTAAACTAAAACAATTTTTAAATGTAGTAACTTTTGCGAGTTGTTTACATTTCTCCAGTAAGGGAAATATCACTGAGTCATGCTCCCTGGTGCTGTCCTATAGAATCATTTCATAGTCTAGTTCAGGGATAGCGAACCAATGGCACGCGTGCCATTTACGGCACGAGACACAATATTTTGGGCACGCCACCGATCACAATTGTTACTACACTATGAATTGTTATTACACAAATGTTATTACACTATGAAGCATATGTAACAATCAAATTAAAATTCACAAAAAAACAAACAAAATAATAAGCAATTAATTATAAAAAAATTAACAATTAATGCTAAAAAAACAATTAATAACCATAAAAAGCAAGCTAACAATAAATAACTAGCAACAAAAAAAAAGTAACAGTTCGGCTTAAACTAACATCTTACAACCTAATATAAGTTATTTGTCATCGTATCTGCAGCAACAGAAGTCACACTGATGTTACTTTAATTTGTTTTAAGACATGGCAAAATGTTTTTTTTTTTCAATGTAAATAAAGAGTTTTGAGTTGATAGTATTTAGTATTATTATTTTCCCAATAATCACGAAGTCAAAATTATTTGACGGCACGTCTATGACCTCATTAAAATTTTTTTCAGAAAAAAATGGCACGTTGGTGTATAAAGGTTCGCCACCCCTGGTCTAGTTGAAACTGGTTATTAAAATTGATTCAACTTAAAATTGATTCTGTGCTTGTCAATACAGCAGAAATAAGCTATCTAAAACGCTTCTCAACCAAAAGCCAGAGAATGTTTCCAGAGAATGTGAATGACAGAATTAAACTTGAAACTTTCTGGCGACATTAACTTAATATGAGTAAACAACTTAGTGTGCTAGTAATTTTTTTAAAAAAAATAAATAAATACAATTTCAGTGTCATCTACGTCATCAACCAGCATTGACTATCCCCGTATTGACTGACCAAATATAACTGGCATTGAACTCTATCCCACAAAATGACATACGGCATCTGTATGACGCAATGCATGCTTGCATACAAAATTCTGGTAGTTACACTAGTTATTAATGTACAAGTATTTCACATTTGAAATGGTTTTTCTCTTAATTGCATTAACCTGTGATCTTGAAACTTTAATCAATTAAATACGTTACTCAGACTCACGCATCGCCAAAATTTCATTTCTGTACAATAAATTTTTCTTGGTGTTGGGACTCTTTTTCCATCAGTGTTTTAATTTTTAAAGATCTGTAAACAATATTAATTAATTTCATAATATTTTATTTCTACTCCTTTCGTTTTGTTTATTCTTCTCCTTTTGTTTTCTTTATTCTATTTTGTTATTCTTTGTTTTGTCATATGTTTTTGTCTATTCAAATTCATATTAATATTCTCTCTGTGCTGGGTGTATGTTTGATCAACAAACTAATTATATTTTAATAAACGGTACATATATATGAATCCTAAATATATGATTCTTACGTTGTATAGTAAAAGTAGCTTTACTTATCCTTATGAGTATCATATATCTAACATCATATATACATTGTAAGAAATTTCGTGTATGTGAACACCAAAAATGGCGGCAACTATTTTACACCAAGTAGTGTTTCAGGAAGTGTTCCATTACACCAAAATCAAGGATAGTTCCTGGTGTAGTGAAACACCTAGAATGTTCTTTTACACTACTTGGTGTAAAGAAGCCGTCACCATGCTTGTTATTCAGTAACACTAAAATTTATAATTACAGTAAAATACGATGAACAGTGCACCAAAAAATAATAATAAATAAATAAACGAAGAATAATTTTGATCTAATGATCGAATCTTCACGTTTTAGGACTCATTCTTAATATTTGAGGGGGTGACTTAAAGTTAGTACTTTTACTTTTTAAAAATTTGATTTCTCGAGATCTATTCAACCGATTTCACTAAAATTTTGTATTTTTCCATGAAAAATTAGATACTTTAAAATGACGTAAAGAATGGTATACCTTGCAATACAAAATTTCTTCGACTATTATTAAATAAAAAATAATTAATATTTGCTAACATTTATTTTTTGCACGGAATCATTTTTGGATAAACGAATTTTATAATTGTGCGCAAAAAGTTTTCAATACGCTTAAAAATTTCTTGAAGTATGGTGAAATACTTAAAAAGCAAAATTAGCGTAACGGGGAAAACCTTGGACCGCGCTCCTGACCAAACTATTAGGATTACTCTCTATATTTCCCAGATTGCGGCTACCCCCTAAAACTAAAGGGTCAGAAATCCAAAATCCGTTGATAAAAAAGGTATGTTTAGTCAGAAGCACGATTTTGTGTCAGATCTCGTAACTTAAGATATCGTCTGCATTAGTATAATTAGTAATTGAAGTCACCCCTCGAACCATTAAGAATTAGTCCTAAAACGTGAAGATTACATCATTAGATCAAAAATTATTCAAGTGGTCCGCTTTGTTTTTCCTTCTTTTTTTTTTCTTTTTGGCGTACAGTTTATAAGAGCCAATAACAATATTTTTACTATACAATATAAGGCAATAATCATAAATTTAGGATACATATTTACAATATATCTTAAAATAAAACTAGCGTTTGTTAGTTAAGCATACACGTACCACTCACAGGATATTAATATGAATTCAAACCATACGGAAATAAATAGAAATTAAGCATTATAAAATTATTTTATACAATTGACAGATTTATGTAAATCTTATGAGACTAAAATTAAAAACATACATGCATTTCATTACTGTTTATAAAAGTAGTTTGTCAAATCAATCCGACAAGGAGATTGAAATTACTTAACAAATAATCAACCACAATCAAAAAATTTTTATCAATTAGGAAAAACGATTGAAACTTTCTTGGTAGTAAGTAGACTATGGTGAATTTATCAATTAAATCCGACAAAAAGTTCATTTCATGTAAACAAACCGCCTTATTGACAGCCATAATGTCAATTTCTTGAAATTGCAGAATTACTCGCAATTAAACTTCGAATAATAGTAGCAAAGTCTCCTAGATGGGGTATCTAGGAGGCTTTGATTGTAAGGTGACCAGATTTCTAAGCCATGATTTGAGGACAAATCAGCGGAGCATCCTCAAAAAATTTTACGATTTTAGAACATCCATATATTTATGAAAAATATTAATTAATATTATTCCCCTTCCAACCCATCAATGAACTAGTAACCTAACAAGGTAATTTTTTAAAAATTTATTACTAAATATCAGGTGATTTTAGAAGTAAGCAGTTTTGATGATCAGCATTTGCTTAACACATGTAAAATAAATGAGTACATGATTATTAAAATTTGTTTATTTTTGTTGGAATTATTTTCAGGCGTGTATGGAGTTTTTATCAGTTAGTTTTAGCTTAGTACTTTTGATTTTTCACTTCATATAATAAAAGTGTTTTCAAAAAAGTCGCGGATATTTGAGGACTTGTGTTAAGATTCAAGACAAAATGTTTCTGTCCTCTGAGTAATCGAAAGTTTTTATTGACACAACAATTAAAATTCGAGGACTGTCCTCAAGATTTGAGCTCGTCTAGCTCTAGTCTGCTTAAACAATAGCCCAAAAGTATTTGTTATACTATTATCAATTCACACAAGAATTTGATTAAATAGTTTAAATATACACTAATTATTCGCCAAATTTCGCCAAACACAGCATATTATCGTATTACGTATATTACGTTATTACGTATATATATATATATAGCCTTTTATNTTCATGCTTCTTTAAACATTAAATATATGCTAATTTCTGCAATCACGCATGCGCAATACATGAACTGCACGCAAGCTGAACACAAGGTATTAACTTGGTAAAGTTTAGATTATACGTCACAGCTTTCAGCGCTACACTAATCAAATAACAACTGAGCGATTTCATTGTGAAAGAACAATTAGCAATTACAATTTTATCCAGTTTTTCAACGTCTAGTTATAAAAAAAAAATTTATCATTGACAAGCATTTTCTGCTAAAATATTGCAGACATAGATATATATTTACAAAATAATTTTCGCAAATATTTTAATTAATTTCATGCGAAACATGCGAGATTAAAACGTGGATTCGCCCAGCTAAGTTTACAGAGCAACAGGCACTTAAAAATAAAATAAATATAAGAATACGCTTAGAAAAAAATTAAAAATACTGCAATAAAAAATTTACTATTTTTATTGGAATATATATATATATATTTTCTTTTCTTTTTGACCGCTCCTTACACTATTGTATTGATATATTTTGTTTGGCTATATTAAAACAATATTAGAAAGCACTCTTTCACTCTTTTTTGCGTGAGAGCTGAACGCAAGATATCTTCTCATTATTTTGTTTTCCTGCTTTTTAATAATTTTTTTAAGACATTTTTTTAAAAATATCTTATTTTAATGATTTTTTCTTCTTCTCTTTTCTTAATCTTTATTATTTTCCATGTTTTCTCTATATTTCAAACTTATTTTATGAGTTCTATATGCGTGCAGCTAATGCGCAGTAAATAAAATAAAACTTATTAATTTTCTTAATAAGTTTAAATAAAACTTACTAAAATTATTGCTTTGATTTCCTTTGCCAGAAATTTAAAATTGAATTTGATAATTTCTAAACGATAGAAGTTTCGCTTTCAAATCGTATTTATATATATATATATTTTATTTATTTATTATTATTATTTGGAAGCATTAAGGATTTTTGATTAGAAGAACTATGTGCGACTTTTTTATTTAAAAAAAATTGAGCATTATAATCTCCATATCTATAAGCAACTTTCACTTTACTAACATAATGCTCAGCGCTTTTTTTTCCTTAAAAGAAAAGAAAAAGAAAAACTTCACTAGCACAACGTTAACTCTCATTAAGTCAGCATTGTCATTAAGTTTCAAGTTTAATTCTCTCATTTACATTCTCTGGAGAAACACTCTTGGCTTTTACTTCGTGTTTTTTTTTTTTTTTTTTTTTTTTTTTTTTTTTTTTGAGATACGTTTCAGATAGCTTACGCTAGCTTTCATGCAAGAAATTATTTAGTAAAAAATTAGTAAACGGACTAAAAATAAACTTATATTTTTTTATTTGAAGAGCTAAATTAGTTAATCATTTAATTATGCAACTTTGGCATACCTTTCGGCTAGTAAAAAAGCGAAACTAAAGCGTTATCAGAGTACGAAACTAGAGTGAAGATTTTTAGAGTAAAGAAAGAAACGAAATCGAAGTAAAGATTTCTAACTTATATTTGTTTTTCAAAAATTGTCGTGAGTTAGTAAGTCATTCATTACTGTTACGTTTTGTCTAACTTTAACCTTTTACGTACGTAAATTATGAAACTAGCACAAAATATCAAAAAGAGAAGTCATAGTTGTGCGAAAAACATTTGCTATCAACTTTTTTTAATGTTTAAAAATGTATTTCTACGCTGCACGATCTAGCTGCACATAAAAATTTTGCAGAAATTGAAAATGTATTGATGTTAATCTAGAATGAAAAATCTCACTGAATTAATGAATTTTTTTTTTTAAAGTTTAATACTTTTTGTGAAATTGAAGTTATTTGTCCGTTCTAAAACCTTTTGAAATTTTTTTTTAATATCTTGCCAAAATAACTCTTTACGGCAAGATAGTAAAATAAAAAAAATAATTAAAATTATGGGTTTTCTTCACGTTTAAGACGTTTAAACTGTTTTTATTTATTTACTTATTCTTGAATTATAGGACGAAACAGCATTTTCGGAAAACACTTTTAGCGTCATTTTGATGTTGAGTAAATTTGTTGCTTTTAACTAGGCTTGTGTTTCAAACAATTTGAATTTTAGTGTTAATGTTTAGAAATGATATGATTCATTAGGAAATGAAAGACATTCGCCTTTCTCCAAGAATCCTCTTTCATGTTTATTCAAAAAATAAACTGTTTATTTCTTGTGATGGGAGGGGAGAGAGACCTGATGATATATAGTAAATATCTTTTTTTTTCCTTTCTTAAATTAAAAATATTTCAAGAACGATAATTATTCTCTGGAATTAAGAATTAAAGGTTTGTGTTTAAAGAACAATGTGCATACCGAAATTCATACAAAGTATCGGCTTATCAGCTTCTACAATGTTTCATAAATTATTCTATATGAAAGAATATTTTACAAATGCGATCACTTAACTCGTCTCATTAATATTTAATGTCGTGAAATAAAAAAGAAAATAACCTAAAATATCTTATTTAAAAAATTTAAATAAAATTTTAAAAATGAATCTAGCAGCATAGAAACAAACAAAATTAAAGATTCTTACAATTAAAGATCAAGCGGAAGAACGGTTTGTGAGTATGAGAGCTGATTCTAAGAAGGAAAAAAAAGCCTGTTTTCTCTCTTAAATTAAAATATTACAAGAATGATAATTATTCTCGAGAATTAAGAATTAAAGGTTTGTGTTTAAGGAACAATATGCATACCGAAATTCATACAAAGTATCGGCTTATCAGCTTCTACAATGTTTCATAAATTATTCTATATGAAAGAATATTTTACAAATGCGATCACTTAACTCGTCTCATTAATATTTAATGTCGTGTAATAAAAAAGAAAATAACCTAAAGTATCTTATTTGAAAAATTAAAATAAAATGTTAAAAATAAATCTAGCAGCATAGAAACAAATAAAATAAGAGATTCTCACAATTGAAGATCAAGCGGAAGAGTGGTTTGGGAGTAAGAGAGCTGATTCTACGAAGAAAAACAAAAAAAAAAAATCAAGACAGACAGGAACGGTTTTTCCTTAGCACGGCCAAAACTATCTACAATGTGTAATAACTCTTGAGGGGAACCGATATTCCACGTTATTGATTTATTAAAACTTATCAAAGAACCTGAAAATTCCACTAATGTCGTTCCAATCATCATTTTTGTGAAAAATATAAATCCCCTTTAATCTTCAATTGTAAAATGCAAATTACTTTATGAAAAAGGACATTAAAAAGATTTTTTCTTCTGAATACATTACTTGCAAAGAATCACACCATCTCGCAAGATTTCTTCATAGGGTCCATTAGGTAATTTTTGTCCCATGATAGCCTCGATCCATCTCAAAATGTCACCTTCTAATTCGGGGTCTCGTTTTCCAGCCAACTGTAAACAAAAACATTTCTATTAATCTCTGAATCTGCTCTTAAAAATCTAATTCCAAATCAAATTTTCTGTCACAGTTTGATATCTTTTAGTAGAGAAATGATCTGTATTAATCTGCAACATTATTGGAAATATTCTAAAATTTATCTGCAGAGCAGTTTTTGCTTAAAATGCTTGTATTTAAAAGTTGCATTTTGTAGGTCCGTAAGTTTTGATAGGCAAGACTGTCTAACAGTAGTAATAGTACTTTATTCACGTCGCACTAGAGATGCACAATAGAATGATGGCGATGGTAACATCTTCGAGAATGATCCGAAGACATGCCATCGCTATTTTGATCCTCTGCAGAGGTGATAGCTCCGCCGCTATGGTAGTCCGTCGACCTGCGCTGGTAGTCCAGCATTTTACCGCAGAGTGGTGTTTGACGATAATCGATGTGTACACCCTCGGGCCTATCGCAACTGATCAAAGTAGTCACCGATACACACACTGAACTCAGCCAGTGATGTTTGACTTAAGTTATCTATTGGGAATCGTGTCTTATTGTGAACAGTCTATTGAGGGACACGTAGCTATTTCTTCATGTCTTTAATACATGAAGAAATAGCTGCACTGTTAAAATATGGTACTTAAAATTAATTAATTGAAGTGTTATTAGTTTGAAATTTATTAATTGGAAAAAGAAAAATTCCGTAACAGTGAAACTAAATTTAAACTATTCTTGACTTCAATTATTTTTATTTTATGGAAATAAATTAACATTGAAGATAAAATTAAAAAAAATATTAATAATTAATATAATTGAACTTAACACCGACTAAACTGAATAAAATAGAGAACATTCTAGAACGTGAGAAATAAAAAGTTACATCTACGATAAAATAATTTTGCACTTTAATCTTTGTTCTAAAAGTCTGGTCGTGGTTTTTAAAGTTCCGCTTTTTTACAAATTTTCTTACATTCCCGCACTAAAAAATTTTCGTTAATGACAATTTGCTATGGCGCTTTAACACAAACTCAGTTCTGCTACTAAGTTTGTTATAAGGAGTTGGAAGGGGTAACAAGAAGTCGAATATTGCGCATTTTTTTAAAGTTTATCAAATAAAATTTTAAAAATTAGCGCATTATTTTTTTTTTTTTATATTGCACTTACTTTAAAGAAATATTTTCATCTCGTGATTTTATTTTTCATTATCCTCAATTTTATTTTCCTTTTGGCTCGAAAAACATTAATGCTGATTAAGTTTTAAATGAAATTCTGGTTAAAAATTTCAATTTTAAAATAAACATTGGCATTTATACTTTTAAAAAAAAATGAGGTATGTCCTTTTCTTAAAATTCGAACCATCTTAAAAAAATTTTATAGTAGCTCAATAATGCAACTAAAAAGTAAACATCTTTCCATTTTTGAATAAATAAACAACAAAATACATCAAATACAGAAATACTATTGCTAGTTGATATTAACCCTGTTATTTGTAGTGAATTTCCTTTTAAACAAAATAAATAAATACACTAATGATAAATTTCGTCATTAAAAATAAGCTTGAATTGTGATTGCATGAAAGTAATTATTGAGGAACCACGCTGTCTTTTTATTATATATATGTGTGGGAATCCAACCTCCACTGCAGCAGCGCCACCCCACTTTTGTAACGCTCAGACGGAGGGGTTGTTTCATATCTCTTGTTATTTTTTTTATTAAATTTGTTTATTACTAAAGCGTAGTCATTTCAACTTATACCTAACACCAACCTCCACATGAGGGCTCTGGTCGTGACCTCGGTGTTGTGAAAGATAATTAACACAGACGNTATATATATATTTAGAATTGTAGAAAAAAATAATTTTTGCATGGAATTATCTTTAAATAAGCGAATTTTATAGTTGTGTGCAAGAATTTTTCGATTTGCTTAAAATAGCTTTCGAAGTAAGCAAAATGTAAATTTAACATTAAAAGGTCCTAACTTTGAATCGCTGTTGTAATCAAACTATTGGGACCATTCCCCCTATATTTTGTTGCCCAGAAATTCGAATACGTCAAAGAAAATACGTTTTTGTTTCCGATTTCGTAACTTAAATTATCGTCTGAATTGGCATATTTGTGGTCACCCCTTAAACAATTAAGATTGAGTCCTAGAACATGAAGATCCGATTATTAGATCAAAGTTATTAAGGGTCTTGGCCTTCTTTGTTCACCAAGTTCAGGGTGATTCGTTGATATTGTTATTTATTTATTTATTTTTTCGCAGTTTGCAATTTTATTTCAAAGAAAGATATAAAAATTCGATTTTAATTAGTTTCTACGTTAATTTTTAAACAATTAACCATAAAAAAAGTGTTGGATTGATTTTTTTTAACTTTTCACTCTTATTTCTCTAATATTTACTTCTTTAAGCAAATGGTGAAAAAAATTTTTTTATTGGAATTATGTTTCATTCTAATTTGAAATTTATGAGAAATCTGATGCAATTCTGTCACAAAATATATTTTCAATATTAAAGTAGCATGAATAAAATTAGTCAGGGCTTTTCATTAATGATATGATCACTTTACCCACATTTCCCAAAACGCGAAAACGTTTTTACAGAATTAATTTTTTTAATATATTATCCGGAAAATTATGAGAAAATCCGATCCATCATAATGTACTTTATTTATTATTTAACACTGCAATTCCTTGATATGAAATTCCCTTTAAATCTAAAAGAATAACAATTTTAATAAGTGTAATAATGCGTCATTTTTTAATATTTTTATGCATTTAGTGCAATCTCGTATTTCAATCTCGTAGTTTCAAAAAGTTATGTGATAGCTAAGCAAAATTGCTTAGAATTGCTATTGAAACATGCTGAAAATTAATGCGGTGCATTGAAAATTAATCAGTAACGTAATATAGATATTTCGTATGCAATGAAATTTATTGGTTAAAAATTATAAGGATAGTAAACATAAGTATATTTTATCACTTTTACCTAAAAATGTATACTTGGAACAAATCCGAATGAAAACTTAAAGTTCTAAAGGGCGATAACTATACTAAAGGGCTAAAACGATGCTAAAATCTTTCGATAGTTATAAAAAATAAACAGATCTTTAAATGTTAATAGATAATAATTGTAATTTTAAAAAATATAGAGTGCATAAATTAAACTAAATAACTAATAATCACATTTAAACTATATTAATACTTGTTGCTCCCAATTTCAATTTCAGAATAGTTAAATAATGATCGAAATAATTTTAAAAAATTCTATAAATTGCTTTTAAGATACGACTTAAAGCCGAAAAGTTATAAGTATCTAATTATTTCGTTAAATTATCTAAATCAATCTGTCTAAAGTTATTCATTTTTATTAAATTAAAAATATTTTTTTAATATTTTCTTTTAAAGTAATAATTTGAAAAAAAATTTAAGTAATAATTCTCTTAAAGTAATAATTTTGAGAAATTATTGAGGGGACACGTGCCCCACTCCCGACGCTACGCCTACGGTGACTGCAAAAGTCAGCATGGCATGTGGCGTATTTGGAAGACATTTATGAAAGCAAAGAAAAAAGCGATGCGATGTTCTAAGAATAAACTTTCAAAATAACTCTTCAAAGATTCAAGTGAATCCACGTGAGCCAGAACACCTTTTCTAATATGCTATTTTTATAACTGTTCTGAGATTCTTATTGTTAGTTTCTCTTTCTATTTTAACAGAAAAAAATAATTTTTTAGTGAAAAACGCTTCTTAAGCGATCTAGATGGTTTTTCCCCACAAAGAAAAAATTTAATGTATGTTGTTCAGAACAAGCAAACGTCAAATACAATTAACCTCTAAAGTTACGGCAAAAGCTTACTGAAATCAGAAAAACCCATTTTCTTAATTGGAATTGTCTGCAAACTCATTTTTTTTGTTCGAAGATATTTATTCAAAATTTTGTCTTTAAATCTGTTTTTCTCAACTCAAATTTTTCACATGACTAGCAACATTACTCGATTTCTAATTAACCTATTAAATTAAAAATTAGTGAACAGCGTTTGAGTATAGCATGTTGCTCAAATTCATAATAGCACTTGAATATTGGTAAATATTTTATATTTTGGGGGAATCCAAATGATTTTTTTTAAATAAAAATCCAATTTTTCAAACTCAAAAAAAAAGCTTTTTATTTTTCAATTTCTTTGAATGTTTGTTTCTAGTATGTTTGTAAAACGTGTATATTTGACTGCATATTAAAAAAGATTTCAAGTTATTAACATGATTTTAATGACTTATCTTTCGTGCAAGACATCATAGTATCTCTTATTTTCTTCAAATTTTCAAAAGAAAATTAAATTACAAAAGTTCTTTGCACTATTTCACAAAAATGGTTTCATTTAAATAATATCTGTGCTTACTTTTTCATTGGCCAAAAATAGTATCTTTTGACTCTGGAAATCTCCTTCCAGATGGAATAATAAATTGATTAATCACAAATACCATATATGAAGAGTTTAAAAAAGAAAACTCGCTCTTAGAACAAATTAAAAGTCATGGAAAAACAAATTACACTAGAGAACAATTTTTTTTCTCTACATTTTGCTTTCTGCTGCATGACATTTTTTTAAAAACGGATCTTAGATATTTTCACGTCGCTGATTTCAAAATCTGCAATCGGTTTCACTTTTTCTAATCCAAGCTACAGTTTCTTTAATGGCGTTTTTAATCTATTTTTTGTCGAAATGTATGAGTTTAAAAACGTTGTATATACCAGGGGGTCGTGTAAGTGTTACGACAAACTTTTAGGGGAGTTGGGACACATCATCAGGACTAAAATTGCATAGAAACCCATGCCCGAAAATGTCGTCGTGCGTGGCTAAGGGTGCTTCCCTATTGTGACCTGCTCAGAAGCACACGAAGAAACAGTTCATAATAAGGTTGTGCCCCTCACCGCGTTCGACGACATTTCTGGGCATGGGTTCCTATCCAATTTTAGTCCTAATCATGTGCTCTAACTACCCTAGAAACTTGT